CTCTTGATCATGCCTTAATTTACCATAATAGAGAAAATTTTGTTAGAGATCAATGAGTCATATCAACACATGTCACAGGAGTATACTATTTACAGTATGAAGCTGAGTAAAAATTAATCTAGATATTTATACAAGTTCCAGATTTCCTAGCCAATTTTTTTTTCATTGTGCATTATGAGTTGGTTCCATTAGGTGATCTTAATCATCCCTAATTCTAACATGTTCCTTTCAAAGCTTTCTCTACTCATTGATTTAGTAAAGATGTCAGCAATTTGTTTATCAGTAGCACAAAATTCTATGGCAATCAATCATTTCTCATAGTTGTCCCTTAAGAAGTGATGCCTAACATCTATGTTCTTAGTCCTCTTATAATGAACTGGTTTCTTGGTCATACTAATAGCACTAGTGTTATCACAAAAGATAGGGATGCAACCGATTTCAATGCCAAAATCCATCAGCTGCAGCTTGATCCATAGCAGTTGAGCACAACAAGAGTCAGCAACAACATACTCAGCCTCAGCAGTGGATAAGGCCACTGAATTCTGCTTTTTAGTGGCCCATGATACCAGACATGAACTAAGAAAATGAGCCATACCTGAGGTGTTTTTCCTATCCACAAGGAAACCTGCATAGTCAGCATCAGCATATCCTACTATATTAAAGTTACTACCTTTAGGGTACCAAAGACAAAGATCAGTAGTGCCTTTCAAATATCTCAGTATCCTCTTGACAACAGTCAAGTGGGATTCCTTAGGATTTGCCTGAAAACAAGCACAAAGCCCTACACTGAAAACTATGTCAGGTCTGCTAGCAGTAAGATATAAAAGTAAGCCAATCATACCCCTTTACAACTTCTGATTATGAACCAGGTTCATCTATGTCTAATTTAGTAGCTGTTACAATGGGTGTGTCTATTTCTTTTGATTCATCCATTTTAAACTTCTTAATCAACTCTTTTGCATATTTCTGCTGATGGATCATGGTTCCATTTGGGTTTTATTTGATCTGTAAGCCTAAGAAAAAGTTAAGCTCACCCATCATACTCATTTCAAATTCATTCCCTATTAATTTTGCGAATTCCTTACTCAGTTTTTCAGTGGTTTCCCCAAAAATTATGTCATCAACATATATTTGTACTACTTGTAGATCCTTACCTTTTTCCCTCAAGAATAAAGTGTTGTCAATCTTACCTCTTTTGTATCCATGTTCAAGAAGAAATTTGGATAGACGTTCATACCATGCTCTAGGAGCTTGGTTGAGTCCATATAGGTCCTTGTCCAATTTGTATACATGATCTGAACACTCCTTACTTTCAAACCCTTGAGGTTGTTTGACAAAGACTTCTTCTTTTAAGTAGCCATTTAGGAAGGCACTCTTCACATCCATTTGATGAAGGGTAAATTCCATGTGTGCTGCAAAGGCTATGAAGAGTCTTATTGCCTCCAGTCTTGCAACTGGAGCAAAGGTCTCATCATAATCTATGCCCTCCTCTTGGCTATAACCTTGGACCACCAGCCTTGCCTTGTTCCTTGTAACTGTTCCATCTTCATCAAGTTTGTTTCTAAAGACCCATTTGGTGCCAATTACTAATCTGTCCTTGGATCTTGTGACCAGATTCCACACTTGGCTTCTTTCGAACTGATTGAGTTCATCTTGCATTGCATTCACCCAATCTGCATCCTGCAAAGCTTCAGCAACATTTTTAGGTTCAATAAGAGATAAGAATGCATCAAGAGCACACAGATTCTTTAATTGAGATTTGGTTTTAACTCCAGAAGTTGGACCAGTAAGGATGTTCTCAATGGGATGAGTACTTTGATACTTGTAATGTTTCACTACCAACTGATTTCTGTTTGGAGTTTCTCCCATGTTTTGTTGCTGAGGAACATGCTCATGGACAGGTTCCATTTGGGAGTTAGACATTCTTACTTCCAGTCATATGCTTTAAGCAGCCACTATCCATGTACCATATTTGACTACTTCCCTTCACTTGGACCTGCAAAACGAAATCAGGGGTTAGTCTTAGGAACCCAAACAAGTTTGGGTCCCTTTCTATAGGCAAAGGGGTGAATTAAATTCCTTTTGGCCCATCCAGGCAGCCTAATTTTCTCTTGAATAAAGGTTTTGTTCTTTTGACTGGTCTTTTCTTTTGCATAACATTCACCTTTGTAATGACCAATTTTGCCACAGTGTGTGCAGATTTTGTTCTCAGGAAGTGTGATGTACTTGCTTTTGGGATCCCACTTAGGTATTGGGGTCCCATAGCCAAGTCCTCTCTTATTGCTACTGTGATGCTCTTGTAGCCAGGATAGTGCATCAGAGGACTTATTCCATTTGCAAGTTCTGTCTAGTTCATGCTTCACCTTGCCTAGATCTTCTTTTAGGATTCTTATCTCTCATCCTTTTTGTACAACTCATCCTTCATTTTTCCTAGATTTTCTTCTAAAGTGAGATGTGTGTGATCAGCTTTCTTCTTACCTATTCCTAATTTCAGTTTTAAATTCTCAGACCTAAGTTCTAAGACACTGGTGTCAAGTTCAAGAACCTGGTTCTTCAACTCAGTATTTTTACTATCACTTTCACTAGCCCTAATTCTAGATTTTCGCACTTGGCTTTTAAGATCACACATTCCCTAGACAGTTGTTCCTTCTCATTATTTATGACCTCAGACTCATCAATGAAGTCTAGCAATAATTCAGATAGCCTTTCTTTGGACAAAAATTTAATCTTGTCTTTGAGATGAATCACACTTACCTCTTGTTCGTCATCTGATTCTCCAATGGCTATAAGTGCTTGTTCATCTCCAGCTTCATCTTCTGAATCCTCATCTGAGGTCTCTCCCCAAGAAGCAGCCATAGCCTTTGTTGATCCTTTGTTCCTTTTGGGTTAACCTGTTCTTTCTTCCTGTTTCTTCGTTCAGCCCTTTCCTTCTTCCATTCAATTTCCCACTGAGGACAGTTCTTGATCATGTGGTCAGTCTTACCACATTGTAGCAGCCCTCGTTGGTCTATTTTTCAGGAACCCTTGGTTTGTTGAAGGTTGCACCTCTTGAAGAACTCTTTCCTCTCATTAGGTACTTCTTGAAATCCCTTGTGATCATAGCCATTTCATCATCCTCTAAGTTTGCATCTTCAGCTATTCTGAGAGCCAGGCTTCTTTTCTTCTTGGGTGCATCCATCTTCATGGTTTGCCTTCTCAGTTCATAGGCAGTGAGCTTTCCAATCAGCTCATCCAACTTGAGAGTAGCAATGTTCTTTGATTCCTGAATAGCCGTGATTTTGCTTTCCCAAGTTACTGGCAAGACCCTTGTCAAGATTTTCTCAACCTTGCTTCTTCAAGGATAATTCTTCTAAGAGACTTAAGTTCATTTGTTAGTGTTGTGAACCTTGTGTACATCTCTTGGATGGTTTCTCCTTCCTTCATGGTGAAATTCTCATATTAAGAATATAGCAGTGTTCCTCTTGATCCCTTAACTTGATGAGTTCCTTCATGGGCCACTTGTAGAGTGTCCCAGATATCCTTAGCAGTGGTACAACTTTGAATCCTGCTATACTCGTCTGGACCTAGTCCACACACAAGTCATTTCTTGGCCTTGGCATTCTTTCCCATTTCTTCAAATCTTCAGCAGTACAGTCAGCTCTCGTCTTTGGCACGTCCACTCCTTCAGCATTCTTCTTTGTAGTAGCCAGGGGACCATCACTAACTATGTCCCAGAGTTCATAGTCTTCTCCTATGATGTGGTCTCTCATCCTGTTCTTCTACCAGGAATAGTACTGGCCATTAAAGAGTGGAGGCCTAGCAGTGGATTGCCCTTCCCAATTTCTAGGTGGTGCACTCATCTTAGTTTATTACTAAGGTGTTAGCCTCTTCAAGGATAACCTTCTCTGATACCAATTGATGTTTTATACTTCAATACCACACAATAGAAGGGGGGGAGGTGATTTGTGTGGTACCCAATTTTCGCTTAACTTGATTATAGAAGGACTTGATTCTTCTATGTGTTCCAACTACTGCTGTTGCGGATTAACAAATACAGAAAATAAAGAACACATAGATTTTACGTGGAAAATACCTGGCTTAAAAGGTGAAAAAACCACGACCTACCTTCCAGTAGGATTTTCCCAAACTCTCCACTAAAATCACTGAGCCAAAAACTGCATTTACAAAAATCTTTTGTAAACCTAGGATTAACTCTACTCCCGTTGTGGCACACAGTCTCAACTGTTGTGACAACTTCAAGTTAACTCTAACTTGAAAACTCTAAGTACCTAATACAATTGCTTCTATAAAAGCTGAAAGGTACAATGTAAAATCACCTACTACAATTGAACTAGAATAAAAGATAGACTCTTGGAACAGGTTCTTCTATCTGGTTCAAGTAGCTTCAGGATTGCACGCTTGAATCATACATAAATTGCTTGCAAAATTGCCTTGCTATTTTGCTCTCAATTCACTTTTAACTTCTACTTATGTTCCTTACCTGTAAAAGAGAACAACAATAATATTTAAAGAGTTAGCAATTAGAGATTGACTAGGATACAGATGGTACTCTTTCATGGTGGAAAAGTTCTAATTGATCTCATACTCTAACTCTATCCTTTTCCTAAACTGTGTTCTCTTTGTGTAAGGAGTCTTTCTCCTTATCCAATATGCAATCTTTTCGATCATGATCAGGAGATATTATAAGTTGGGTTTATCTCTTTCACGTGCATCTCACATGTTTGGGTTTGATCACAGTTGTGCTTCACAAGATGGACCTGATCCATGTCTGAGTTCCTTTGTCAGTCTTCAAAACTTCACCTTTACTTGGCCAACAAAAATATCTACGCCTATTTATACATGTGTACAGTTGTGTAAAGCTGTACCAATTACACTAAAATTACTTGTACAAAAATAAATACAAATGTGCATATTCTCAATACCCCCCCCCCCCCAAGTTGTAAGGGAGGAACCATAGCCAACTTGCTATGTAAATTGCAATATTTGATCCCTGTAAGAGGCTAGGTGAATATGTCTGCCAGCTCATGTGTAGAAATGTGATGTAATGATATGAGTCCCTCGTGTAGTTGATTCCTCACAAAATGGCAGTCTACTTCTATGTGTTTTGTACGTTCATAAAACATAAGATTCTTAGCTATGTGGAGAGTTGCTTGGCTATCACAGAAAACTGGGACAGGTAAGGTTAAGGGAACTGTCAAATCTTCAAGCAGCCTAAGTAACCATACTAATTCTCCCACAACTTGTCTGGCTGATCTGTATTCTGCTTCTGCCAAGGATAATGAAATAGTGTGTTGCTTCTTAGATTTCCAGCTAATAAGGCTATCACCCAGCAACACAACATATCCACTGACCGATTTCCTCGACTCAGGGCAGGCTGCCCAATCTGAGTCATAGAAGGCTCGAACCCCATAATCATTTCTATTGGATAGAACGATCCCTAAGCTTGGATCACCTTTAAGGTACCTTAGTACATGGTATGCAGCTTTCAGGTGTGGCTCCCTTGGACTCTGCATGTATTGACTCAAATGTTGCACACTATAAGATATGTCAAGCCTTGTATTGGTTAGAAAATTCAGCTTTCCTACTAGTTTCCTATAGTGAGAAGGATCTGGCAGTAAAGACCCCCCATCTGCACTCAGCTTAGTAGAAGGGTCAAGTGGAGAAGCTAAGGTAGAATACTTGGTGCAATCAAACACCTCCAATAGATCCATTATGAATTTCCTCCGGGATATCAGTACCCCATCATCTTTGTACAGAATTTCTAACCCCAGGAAATAATGCAACCTTCCTCCTTTATTTTGAAGGTCTCATGTAAGAAAGCCTTCAGTGCTTCTATTTCTTGTAAGTCAGTCCCTGTTATTAGGACATCATCTACATAAACAGCCACAAACAGCACTGAAGTCCCATGCTTCTTGTAGAACAGTGAATAGCCGAGTAGGGAGTGTGTATCCTCTGGAACAAAGTGTTGTAGTCAACTTCTCATAGCATTGTCTTCTTGCTTGTTTCAGTCCATATAAGGACTTATTCAACTTGCACACTAGGTCTGGTCTTTCCACAACAAGGCTTAGAGGTACTTCCATATACACTTCCTCATGGAGGTCCCCATGGAGGAATGCATTGTCGGCATCTAGTTGAAATATCTCCCATCCTTTCTTCACTGTTGTCCCAATTAATGCTCTAACAGTAGTCATCTTCACTACTAGTGAAAAAGTTTCTGTATAGTCTACCCCTGCCTGCTGAGTGTTTCCATTTACTACCAGTCTTGCTTTAAATCTTTCTATGCTCCAACTGCATTCACCTTATATACCCATTTACATCATATTGTTTTTCCCAGCCGGAAGTGGCACTAAGCTCCAAGTATGGTTGGCATAAAGTGCTTCAAATTCCTGATTCACAGTTGTCTGCCATGCAGGATCAGCAGTTGCCTCTTCATATGAACTGGGCTCAGACCCATGTGAAATGTTTTTGACCAATTGCCGACTGTCAGAACTAAATGCATTGAGTGAAACATATTGGGCATTGGGTATAGATACATTAAAAGAAAGTGAGTTAGTACTTTGGTTGCTGCTGGAAGGAGAATTAAGGTGGCTTGTCTATAACTTGGGGAGTGAGTAGTTATAATCTTTCAAATAGGTAGGGACCTTGAGTGTTCTGGAGGGTCTCCCTGATGTTTCATTAGGTTGTTGGATCACTAAATTGGGATAGTTGTTTGTAGATGTTTCATTCTGATTGTTGTCAAGGAAGAGTATTCTTCAAAGTTTGGAATTGTATGAGAGTTGGGTTCACTTAGCCCTGGTGATGAGGAGTCAGGCGACATAGCTGGAAGATGTGGACCAGGTGAACTAGGAAGAGATACTGACTCATGAGAAGGGAACAAGTCTTGTGCCAAATCTGAATTTACTTGTGGAAATGAGGGAAAGACTCCATTAGAACCAAAAGGTAAAGCAAAAAGAAATACTGAAATACAACATCTCTTTATACATGAATTTTCTTTGGGACTAGATTGCGTACCTTGTAACCCTTCGTCCCAAAGGGGTATCCCACAAAAACATGAGGCAAGGATCTTGTTTCAAATTTACCTTTGTGAGTTTTGAGGGTTGTAGGAAAATAAAGGTACCCGAAGCTTTTAAGGTGAGAATAGTTGGGTTTTCTTTTGTAAAGTAACTCCTATGGGCATTTGTTTTTATGGGTAGTGGAAGGGAGTCTATTAATCAAATAGGTTGAGGTGAAAATGAATTCTCCCCAGTATTGCATGGGCATCTTAGATTGATACAACAGTGCCCTGGCTATTTCGTAAAGGTACTTGTGTTTCCTTTCTACTATCCCATTTTCTTGGGGCGTACAGGGACATGTTTTCTGGTGTATAATGCCTTCAGACTGCAAGAAAGAAGCAGTCTCAGAGCTTATGAACTCAAGTCCATTGTCAGTTCTAATGGTCTGAATGGAGCAACTGAATTGATTGTTTACCATGGCAGTGAAGGCTTTGACTACCTGCAGTGCAGAGCATTGCTTTTGCAACTAAGAAGGTGTGTCCAAGTACACCTACTGTAGTCATCTACTAGGGTGATGAAGTACTTATACCTATCATGTGTTGTGACATGATAGGGGCCCCATATATCAATATGTACGATTTCAAATATTTTGATTGTGACTGTAGTTCTTTTTGGAAAGGGCAATCTGCTTTGTCTAGCCATTGGACATATAGGACAAATAAAAGGCTGTTTGGGTGAAAAACGAACAGGTATGGACTTAATTTCCCTCATTTTGGCAAAGGGTACATGTCCCAATCTATTGTGCCACAAGAGATCAATCATATCTTTATCAGACATAGATGCATTGTATGTAGAATTGGCATTTCCTTTACATTGCCCATGAGAATTTTGACAGCTCTATACATTCATGAGAGGAATGTGAACTAGGTACAACATGTGAAACAGAGTGTGAGACAACATTATTACTAATAAGTAGGCTAGATGGAACATGTAAAACATGCTGAGTGATTGTATCACCTTTATTAGATGGACTAGATGAATTGACATCAATCAAGGAATTAGACTTGCAGGAATCTGAGGTGTAAAGGTATAGACCATCTTTGCTTTTACCAATTGCCAGAGGCCTCTTCAGTGAAGGGGACTGCAGAAGGATACAAGCAAATTTGGAAAATATGACAAAGCAATCAAGTTAAATTGTTAAACAATGTACAGAAATTAGGTAGAATTTGAAACAAGGAACAAAAAAGACTCTTTTCAGGGTGAACCTAGGACTCATGACTACATTTCTCATCAATATCACCTTCACCTTATAACCATTAGGCAATGTAACTAAGAAAGGATATACCAGATTTTTCACATTGGTCAACATGGATTTCTTATAGTTCGTATGGTTTGATGCCCAAGAATCAATTATCCAAGAATTAGAAATTGATCTAAAACACTTATACGAATCAGCACCAGAATCAAAGGAAGTTGAGCAAGCTGAGATACCTGCAAAGTTCACAGCCCCTGCTTTTGGATCGTTTCCTCCATTTCCAGCATGAAAGTTCTCCAGGATGCTAAGCAGTTGGTTATATTGTTCCTTTGTAGGGTTCTGCATGGTTTGATCATGTTCATGTACTTAGCCATTGCCTCCATCTTCACCTTCAATTCCATTCTCACTTTGATATCCATGTACATTGGCAGCAATCCTTTTTCCTTTGTTGAACCTTGAATCTTATGGATAACCATGTAATTTATAACATCTCTCCTTAGTGTGACCTGGTTTCTTACAATAGTCACAAAAAGGCCGGGGTCTGTTTCCAGAATATCCTCCCCTGTAGTTATTGTTCCCAGTTCTGTTTCCTTGTTGATTGTAGTTTGTATATCCAGCATTATCGGAAGTGTTTGATTGTTGATTATAGTTTGTTTTGAAACAATTTCCTCCTAACCTATTTGCACTCAGGGCAGTAGACTCGATCACAAACTGATTATTTGGTTTGACCTCTCTTTGCTTTTCCTCTTGGATGAGGATTGAAAAAGCCTGTTCTAGTGATGGCAATAGGTTCATCGCCATAATACTTCCCCTTACCATAGTATAAACTTCGTTCAGCCCCATGAAGAACTGAATCAACCTTCTGTCCTTCTCAGCCTTTTGCATATTTGCTTTAGCACCACATGTACAGTTGCATTTGCACTAAGCATGTGCATTCAATGTATTCAGCTCTTCCTAGAGCTTCTTCATCTTAGTGTTATCCCCCGTGATGTCTAGGGTTCCTTGACTCAAATCATTTATCTCTTTCTGCAATTGATATAACTTTGCTCCGTTTGTCTAATCATATCTATCCTCTAATTCCTGCCAAAGTTCCTGAGCATTATTAACATATTGCAGATTTTCCGCTAAATCCTTCGAAAGAGAATTCAGAATCCACGACGTGACCATTTCGTCACAGCGTTACCATTGATCATAACTAGGGTCCTTTGAATCCGATTTTCTGCATTTTCCGCTTATGAATCCCACCTTGTTTTTCACTGAGAGAGCTTTGAGAACTCCTCTTCTCCATGACCTATATCCTGATCCGTCGAAGGGTATCGGTACAAGCATAGAACCCGCACTTTCAGATGGATGCATGTATTGTGGATTTGTCGAATCTAGAAGCGGATTTGTGGAATCCGTCTTGTTTTCGTCAATAGCTATACTTATCGATTAGTTTTGAGGGGAAATTGATCTCGTTTGAACTTTTTCTGAATTGAAATTGGGGAAATTTCGCTACTCGCACAAAAAACTATCGTAAAGATGTAATTAAGTGAAGAATCGACTGATTGAGCTTAGAATTAAGAGCCTAGCTCGGATACCATGACAAAATAGCAGAAGAGATAAAGAGGAAGAGCTCACCTCGAACGAGCTCTAATGGAGGATGAACAAGCCCTAAGTAGAGAGACTTCTGGAACCTTCCTCTTTCATTAGAAAGTGAACATAACTAAAGAGTACAAGATACAAAAATGTAAAAGTGACTTTGTACAAAATATCTACGCCTATTTATACATGTGTACAGTTGTGTACAGCTGTACCAATTACACTACAATTACTTGTACAAAAATAAATACACACGTGTATATTCTACGATATGTATATTTAACACCGCTTTATAATTCTTTAGAGAGGAGAGTAAGGCCTCATTTGTTTTTTTAAAGATTAAGACGTCTGAATCTGAATACACATCTGAATATATTAAGATGTGTATTAAGATCTGAATACTAAAAATTATGACTGTTTGATTTTTAACATCTGAATGTATAAAATTTATCTTCATTTGAAAAATAATAAACATAAAATTAAAATGTAATACTAACTAATCTAATATTCTATCAATAAAATATATAGTTTTTAAAAATATGATAGTTGGTGGTGGTGATGGCTAACAAGTGAATGCCGACTAGAAGCGGTGGTTGGTGGTAGGATTGGTTGATGATGGTGGTTCATGCTAGTAGCTATTAGTGATTGGTAGTGGTGGTGATTATGATTGATGATGGTGGCGGTGGGTGATGATAGTTAATAATGGCGGGTGGTGGTTTGTGATTGTGGAAGGTGGTGGTAGGTTATAATGATGTTGATGGTGATGGGGTGGTTAGTTGTGATAGTTGAGGTGGATAAGTGTTGATTATGGGTGAGAATGGTGGTGGCCGGAGTGGTGAGGATGGTGGGTGGTGATGGTCGATAATGGTGCCGGCTATGATTGAGGATGATGGTAACGTGGTGGTGGTGGTGGTGGTGGCATGGTGGTAGTTGATAATGGTAGGCGGCGGCAACAGTTAATAATGAATATGTGATAGCATCTTGATGAAACTAAGTTTCTGTTATAGATCTTAATCATACAGACCTATGCAGATCCATTAAGTGGTTGTGAAGTAAAAAAAACAAACACACTTAATGATTAAGATCTGAATAATTAAGATTCAGACTTTAAAAACAAACGCACTTAATGTCTGAGATCTGAATGATCAAGATTCAGACCTCCATTAAGTGCAAACAAATGAGGCCTTAGCAACCTATGCTGGGTTAGCAATGATTTGTAATTACTTCACTTGGTAATTAATAAGAAGTTAATTAATTACCAAAAAACCGCTATATAAACACGGAAAAAATCATTCTTTAGTGAATAGTTTAATTTGCTCGTTTTCTTCCAATCCTACCAATAATTGGGTTCTTTTACAAAGTGCAACTAATAAGGTATTAGCATATGGTTGATTTGATAACAAATCAAATGATGATGGAATTAGTGGAGAAGAACGAAAGTAGAAGAAAATAATAATATTTCCTCTGTTTAAAAAAAATAACCTATTTGATTTAACACATAATTAAAGAAAGAATAAAGGATTTTTGGAATTTTTGATTTAAAATATTTTACAGATATTTGTGTGGTTATAAATCATCTTATTAAGGAAAAAAATAAAATATTTAAAGTTACATTATTTCTAAATTTTAAAAAAATTATCCTTAAAAAGATATCGATTCATTTTTTTTTAAACGATAATATAGAAGGAATGGAATGGCAGTTAGGTTATTTTTGTTGCTTAAAAAACTGCCAACCTATATTTAGCAAAACAGAATCATAATCTGACATGTTGTAATACCTAAGCAAATATGTAAAAGGCGCTATATGTGCCCAACATGCAACAACTCCTACAACTACGTTAGCATATTACTTGTACTCAAGGATAGAGTATTGTAAGTATCGAGTTTATCTGAATTTAATATTTTTGATTCGAAACATAAGTTTATGTATAAAAAATTAGTAGATTATACAAATAATAGATATGAATCCGTAATTTTAAAAATATAACGAATTTGTTGCTTGAAATATTAAAAGTTAAATCATAAAGTTTAAATTTTGAATACATTTCTATATTTTATGATTATAATAGGTGAGTTGTGGCGGACTGTCGGGAGAATGGCCAACTCATTGATGGAGACAATGGAACCTTCAATTGGGACTCTATATTTAATGACATTTGCTATGACGCCATTTACCAGCAATACCTACCCTAACCTTCTTGCATTCGTTTATTTCTCATTTCTCTTTCTTTATTCCTCTTCAAGACTAGGAGAAAATAAAAATAAAAACAAACGTACAAATACTTAATTCTTAGGGCCCATTTGACCATAAGAAATTTTTTATTTATTTTAAGAGAAGTCACTTTTTTCGAAATCAATATTTCTCCATAAAACTTTCAAATTTCACTTGAAGTTGAATTTTTAAATTTTTCAAAAATTTTAAAAACTCCAAAAAGTTGTTTACAAAAAATTTCACTTCAAATTACTCGATAAAATTAAAAGACAGCTCCAAATTGTATTCATGTCCAAACACAACTCTGGTTTTCAAATACCATTTTTAATTTAAAAAAGTTTGCACTTTTTTTCGAAATTTTACAATTCTTATGTCCAAATGCCCACTTATAGCCTGTTTGGCCAAGCTTCTCCAAGCCAAAAACACTTTTTTTTTTAACTTTTCTTTCAAAGTTCGAAGTGTTTGGCCAAGCTTTTTGAGGGAAAAAAGTGCTTTTGAGTAGAAGCAGAATGAATTTTGGAGAAGCAGAAAAAAGTAACCTCTCTCCAAAAATATTTTTTTGAAAAGAACTTTTGAAAAAAATATACTTAGAAGTAGCTTTTAAAAGTTTGGCCCAAACACTAATTGCTTATCCGAAGTGCTTTTCAAATAAATTAGTCAAACACAAACTGCTTCTCATCAAAGGTACTTTTGAAAAAAATACTTTTGAGTAAAGCACTTCTCAAAATAAGCTGATTTTTCCAGTTTGGCCAAACAGGCTATTAGTCTATGTGCACAAGATATTACGAAAAGAATTACGCGGCCAGGTAGTGGAAAAACAAATGCCATCAAAATTTAAATTTTAAAATTAAAAACATATAATATAACTTAATCCTATAACCATTAATTAGAAGAAATATTTATAAAAAGAAAAATAATCTGTGGCACATAAAGTAGGGAATTAAAGTATAATGGTGCACATGGGTTTCTTGGGTCGTACGGGATTGATAATGCCATATAATTGTCTCACATTTGGGACATTACTCCTTACTTTAATATTACAATAGGAAAGTATGTATTGTAAATACTATACCATATCTGGTTACAGTCGTACTTTATTTTTGTTGAAACCAAAATTGTTCTAGCTTGCTCAATTTTTGTAAGTCCAACTTTACTCTTTCACTTCACGAGAAAAAGAAGGAAAAAGAAAAAAGAACTTTACTCTTTCACTTTAGTTAAACATGTTATTCTCCACAAGACGACCTAACTTTACAGTCCCACATAAAATTCTTGTATTAAAGCATCAATTTCGAAATTTATCCTACATACGTAATATAAGTTTTTATATACATAATATAATTTTTGGATGAAGGGTATTCAGTTGACCGCCCTTCAATGTATGTGGCTACACCACTGCTTGCTGTATCTGGAATTTCGAAGCAAGACAACCAAACAAGATTTTGCCATGGTAAGAAAGGAAACTTAAGCAGTAACAAGTTAAGGTACAACTTGGATCATAGGTCACAAAAGTTGATCAATGAGGTAAACCGAACAGTGAATTGATTGATGATGTTGGTTTAATTCTTCACCTTAATCATAAACAAAAGGACTGATCAAATTCTATTGAGTCAATTGGTTTCAACAACACAAGTACGTAATGAGTCCAAAAGAATCTGTTCATTCAGAAACCGACCTGCAAAAGAAAGGTTACTTCAAAAGAGGAACGAGCTGTAAAACAACTTCATATTTTGGAATGTGGTTACCTATGAATACTATTTTGTTCATCTGAATCTCTTCATTTCTCCACTTGCGGCTCGGAACAATTTCATATATTTCTCTCACGCCCTGCCAGATACAGTAGTCAATATGTAAGGACAAAGGAAACACAACACCATAGACGCCAAGAATTGACGTCGTACAGCTATGTAGGATGAGATTGTACTGAAGAACTATTGCAATATTTCCTTATAAATTCCAGAAAACACCGAGAAATAAAATTGTGTTAGCATGATGATAATTTAGAGGATGATATGGTACAATTTGGTGGCAGGTCCACTATAGGCGAATTGAAGAATTGTCTCCTACTCCAAACGAACACAATGAAGGTGGAGAACCGCATCACTGGGGTAGGTATTTAAACATGTGCCAAAAAGGTGAGCTAGCTGATACATAATATGTAGCTCTCAGGAAACAAGTGGAAACTGGAAACAACCCTATAACTTCTTTTTTTGTTTCTAAAACTGACCTTGTTATGAAGAAGTTCCCATCAAAAGCAATTAAAATAGTTACATGATCCCTTATATCAATTACGCTTGCAAATATCTTTGAAAAAGAAAACATGAAGAATAGAGACGTTTTGGTTCACCAAATAGCCTTAGGAGCCACCATCACGCATCACCAGTATTACAGTATATTACAGCATGCAGCTAATTTCATGTAACATGTAAAGGTGCAACTTTAAATGTATTGACACACATCTGCATGGAGATTGTCTTTGGAAAATATATTAACAGTAAAGAAAATACAAACTTCCAAGTTCCACCTAAAAGATCGAACCATCTAAGTTCATCATTCATGAAGAATGCATTGCTTGTTGCATGAAGAAGTATTAGTAGCAAATTAAATTTATAACTTTTGATATACGCCAAGAAGTGTATATCAGAGAAGAGTCTACTGCCATTACTGCACAACAGAAAGGTTGCGTTCTTCAATTAAATTAAAGTATATTTTGTAAGAGTAGTGGGAACAGATTTATCCAACAGCTGAAAGTTCTATAGTCACTGGTCAATCTCTAATTACGTGTTCCCCAAAGCATTTTGATCGTTGTTCTTTGGATTAGATAGTTTTTTAATTTTCTTCTAGTTATCATTTCATCTTGGTTCACTAGTTCTGGCTTTTACCTTTCGAAAAGGTGCACAGAGAACAAAAATGTGGCCTTAATTTGAGAAGGAAAACTAAAAGTGCTTCAGATCTTGGTACTAGTTATATTGAAATGTAGAACATCTTACCTGTAAAGTGTGGAGTTGATCTGAGTTTCTGACTCTTAAAATTCCCTTGCAACGATAAACATCCATGCCATCCTGTTTATCCCAAAGGAGTTCCTCAAGCCAAGTGCGAGCCTAATGCCAACAAGGCAAGTAAGGACCTTAGTAGTGATCCAAGATAGTTAAGAACCATCCTTTGTGCAAGAAATTATGCTAAAACCACAACCGGATCATACAAGGATAATAATCTGGCTAGAAATAATGGTTCTGAGGTGTACAGGCATACTGATTTTCACATGAGACCCCCTAAAGGAATTTTTCTTTTTTTTAAAGATTGGAAAAAGCTATCAGCCACCAGCAAACCTGTTTTGCTTTCTAAGGAAAGAGAATCAGAGCACCCTGCAGAAGCTAGTTTAAGTCACAGCCCAGCAAGCACATATACTAGCACCCCTTTCAAAAAGTACCTTATCCAGATCAATCTGTTGTGTATCACAGATGCACAACGTTCTGACTTCACTGTCATGAAGCCCTTTAGTAGTCAGAGATTTGTTCTCCTTTAACAATGCTTCCAGATGAGCAGCATGCTAAAAAAAGTTATAATAAAAGAAGATTAAATAGCTCTCCATCTGCTGACTAACAATATCAGAATTTAGCGCATTAAGGACCATTGCTTACAGTAGGATCATATGCCTGGCAGTTTAATATCTTTGACAAATCAATTTGGCAACGAACAGAATGAATAATATTGGCAAGGGAATTAATATCACGGATTTCCTTCTCCAGTTCCTCTAGCATTGCTCCTGAGTCATCTTGAGAAACTAGATCAACCTTGTTAAGAATGATAACATCCTACACCCAACAGTTGACAATAAAAGTCAGACATGATTTCATTTCATGATCCAAACCTAAGCTGTATGGAGCACAATCCCAGTTAGCACCTATAAGAATGGATAACAATTGCTAGAAAGTCAACAATAGGTCGAACGCCTAATTAGAAACCTCAGATGATTGAATGGAGAGACTAACATATCAATTACCGCAAATGCTATTTGTAAGTAAGCTTCAGGAAATGAAGAGGAGTTAGGATTTGGTTTTAGCTGATACCGAAGGTTCTTTGCATCTACAACCTGTTACAGAAGCAAAATCAATTAAAACATCTGGAAAAATAAAGTGGCAAATTTTTAAGAACAACAATGATAACAATCAATAGCATGTGAAGTTAATCACAATCTCAAGTTCGAAACCCACTGGGTGCAAACAATTTCTGAGGGCCATCGGACTGGGTAAAACCTGAATTAACCGTGGTGCACTTGCGGGAAACTCCTTGCCGAGGGTTTGTGCACCCCCGGGATTAGTCGGGGCTCTTACAGACTCGGACACCCGGTGCAAATCAAAAAAAAAAAAGAAAAAGGTACAATAGAAGGGTGGATATGAAGTTAATAAGTAATTCCTTAATACACATCTAACCAGCAAGATAAATTTTAGTTGCCTATTGCTGATCTAAGAATGAACACATAAAACTACAAAAACTAAACGGCTGCACTTTTCAGAAAATATTCTTTTCTCCATCCACAGAGTAGTGTAGAGAAAAAAAAATTCTGCGAACTTTATAAAATAAGTTTTACATCCTTGTAACACAGAACTGACCGTAATAATTGAGTCAAGCCTAACATCTGATTCCAGCTGATCATCCAACCAAAGCACGGATGCAAGGGGGGCAGGGTTTGCCAAACCAGTAGTCTCTAGCAATATATGGTCAAGTCTACAAAGAAACAAATAGCTCCTCATCATTAGATTTGAATAAGGTGAAATACTTTAGCAAAAGCTACAGAACTTCGTCCTCTCGCTCCAAACTTATCAAGGACGGATTATTCGAGAAAACACTTGGTGAAAACAGATTACATGCCCTAACATTTCCACCCACCCACCTCCTAGAAGAAACAAAGAAACAAAGAAAAAATATTGGATCCTGCTCATTTCTTCTCTTTCTGTCATCTTAAAGTTTTTTTTCTTATGCATTTCCTTGCCTGTTTCCAGGGCACGACGTTCAGAGGTTCAAACACCAATACCCCTTAGACGCTAATATTTTAAACGCCAACTGAAAGTAAAGAGAGAGAGAAAAAGCAAGAAGTATTTGGTACACATAGGCAATTCCATCAGATTCAAATAGCAATCTCTCTAATCCCATTTCCTCAAGTATAGAACTAACGCTTCATAACAAAACAAAGTTATGCATACTAAACCCCCTAACCTCAATTCCCCCAAAGAAAATCAAATTCAAACTAACAGTACTTGAAGTACACGTGTACAACCATCAGTCCATTATCTTCCTTGAGCAGCCCACAGCATAAAAAGATTTTATTTTGAAGTGTATATGCATATAAACAGTGAGAAAATAGTGGCAAAGGACAGTGTGAAGATGAAAGCAAGATCATATCACCTCTCTTTTCTCTGAACAAGTTGCTCCAATGCTTGAACCAAACTATGCTTCACAGTACAGCAAATACACCCATTTGCAAGCTCTACCCATTCTTCCACAAGACCGCCTTCTTCCCCTTCATTTATCATCGCTCTCTCGACTCCTATCTCCTCCCCAAACTCATTCAATATCACTGCTATTCTCTTCCCATGTTGCTCTTTCAGTATATAATTTATCAACTAACAATAAAAGAAACAACTATAAGTCAATCCCAAACTAGTTCCTTCTCTCCAGTTTATGTGACATTATTTCTTCATTAATCTGTTCCAAAAAGAATGACACATTTCTATATTTAGAAACACTTAAACTTTAAACCTCCAATATTACCTCATTTTAATGAGATGATTTATAGTCACACATATCTATTTACTTGTTTTAGACCAAAAGTTTCAAAAGTCAAATTTTTCTTCTTAAATTCCGTGTCTAGTCCAACTACATCACAAATGGCACGGAGGCAGTATAATTTAATAACTGAATATAAGCAAAAAATTTGTACAAGTAGAAATTACGGTGGATTTTCCGGAACCAAGATAGCCGGTGATGACGGTGACGCCGACCGGAGGAATCTCTGAGTTTTCCGTTGGTTGATTGGAGTTGACGGTGTCGTTTATTTCGACGGCGAGTGGCGGCTCTTCGTCGGAATCCTCCATGCTCAGCTCCTTCAGTCGATTTTCCATTTTGTTATTCTTTGAAAAAGAGGAGAATGTAAATGGACTCTTTATTATAGGGCCAAATGTAGAGGGCCGTGATGGACTATTAATTTTGGGAAACTTACACAAATGTCCCAAATAAATCTCAACTTACCAACCTCAAGCTATTAGTTATAGACTTATCAAAACTAGCCAATAAAAATTGAAAACCAAATAATAGGGTTCTTTCTCTCAAAGAATCACATGTAAAAATGACCTTCAATATTTTTAAGCGTGATTAGCAACATTAGATACAAGACGGAAAGGAAATTTCATGGACGGGGTAGCAAATAAGGTGATGAAATACAAAAATCAATACAATATTCCAAAAACTAAACAATTAAAGGAACCTTTTCAATTGGTATAGTTGAAATTCATTAAAAATATATAGATAAGTCAATATACAAAATTTGAGGAAGATTGGAGGTGATTTGGACTGGTTTTGTATCAAATTCATAATTAAATCGAGTTCAAAAAAGTCTTCTGCGACACATGTATCAAACATGTATCACGCATGTATCTCACACGCAGGTATACATGGATATACATGTGATACACAATTGATACAAATATGATACACAAATGATACACAGTGTGATACACATATCATTTTTTCATGTTCAGCCTTTACTTCGAATTTTCAATTCAAACCACCTCAAAACTTCACCAAATCATCCCAAAACTGATATTCAAGCTCCTTAAGTTGTGCCCAATCTATTCTAATAGCACCCGCTCAAAACAAAGCAATTGGCGCACCAGAATTTGATAGTTATTTTCAAGCTGAATTATCAAACTCAATAGATGTGGAGACGCGCGAGAGGCTACTAAAGGAAGCTATTAATGAAGTGAAGATCAATAGCCGTATACTAGCTAGTAAACAACTAGAGAAAATAAAGAGTCTGATAAATGTTAAGGGATGGAAAATTCAAAGATTAGATGCAACAGAAGTTTTTAGGAGGAAACAGAGAAATGCAGAGGAAGAAGCAGAGGAAATTTGGAAGAATATGGTCATGGGATAGAGCATAAAGATTGTGGGTAAATTTTTATGCGAAAATAATAGGAGAAAAATGGTTTACAGAAATAATGGACAGCCATTAAGAGAGGAGCAGCGTCGGCCATAGCTCAATATTATTTTTTTGTTACAAATAGCTAATTGGCTAATTTGGCTAATATTAATAATATTTTATCAATTGGCCAATTTTTGTAATGAGCTACTTATAAATGGACATAGCTGGTAATTCCCCTTAATTTTGGCCTTACGTAATGGAAAAAGGATTTTTACCTACTTATACTATATTAGAAACTTATTTACCTATGTTCTCTATGTTATGCAGTTTTTAATAAGTATCTAGGTTTTTCTTACAACTTGTATACATTGCTTCTTAAAAGGCTCCCACCCCATTATTAGTGCCTTCAATTAAGGGATTCAATTACATCATTTCCTTTTTTTCCCTTCTCCTCTTCTCTCTCCTTTTTAAAAAAAATCAAAATCCCTTAATCTACGTCCAGAATCTCCATCTTCTCTCTTCAGCATTGCCTATAGCTTTATATTATTAAAAAATATTCAGAAATTGTATGATAACTGTATCATAATTGTAGTTGAATTGTATTAGATACATCAGTGCCTAAAACATAAATGTACCGTACTTGTATCACAATTGTATCTAACTTGTATCTGGTACATTAATACCCAAAATAATACCTGATACAATACTAATAAATTAATATACAATTATCATATTTGTGATACAAATTGTGAAATTCGTCACAAATTCACAACTGCTCGTAATAATATACAATTATCATACATTTGTAATACAATTCCTGCAACAATTATGATACATATACAATTATAATACAATCACGATACATTTCTGAAAAATTGTGATACAATTATGATCTTTATTTTCCTCAAGTTTCAATCACAACTCTACACTAAAAATGTAATATAATAGTTATAATTGTATTAGTATTGTATCCACAACTTACCCACAACTTGATTGTAGAGCAAATATATGTAAATTAGAGGAATGAGAGGTGTATTTCAAGTGTAAAGTATCCACGGCGAAGGCAGTTTTGCAAATCTGTGACTGCCTTTGGTTCATAGTTGCGCTTGTTTTGTGTAAATTATTTCTTGGAAGTACATATTATTCTTTTTGTTGCTAGTTTGTAATTTTATCCCCTCTAAGCTGCAGAAACTTGCAACCTTGTTCTTGTAATCTCTTCTACTATGGGTTTACTTATTTCAATTGAGATTTTGGACGATTGAAAGAGAGAAATTGGATATCAAAAGCTTTGGAAGAAGAAAGAATCTGCAATTTTGGGGGATAACAGTGGATGATTGAAGGAGAGAAATCGGATATCAAAAGCTTTGGAAGAGGAGTGAGTAAGCGAGATTTTTGGGTTAGAAAGATTTTGGGCATCAGTGGGTAAGGGAGAATTCTTACGGTGGGTAAGTACAAAATTGGAAGATGTTTTTGTAATCCTTTTGGTAAAGGAAGAGAATCTTAAATGTAGGGGATTATATGTAACTGATACGCTATATTTAAGGTATGTTGCATTTCCTCTTTTTTATGATTTTGTATAAAACTAGTAAATATAGGTATATAAAGTAATTAACGAGGAGCCTAAATAAAGGTAGTAAATAGGTTTCTATTATAGTATAGCTAGGTAAAAATTCCAATGGAAAACTACCGGCTATGTCCATTTATAGGTAGCTCATTACAAAAATTGGCCAATTCATACTAATATTAGTCAAATATTACTAATATTAGCCAATTAGCTATTTGTAACAAAAAAAGTCAAATTTTTGCTTTCTTTTGAGTGGATGTTATTAGAATAGATTGGGTACATCTTAAGGAGCTTGAATCTCAGTTTTGGGATGATTTGGTGAAGTTTTGGGGTGGTTTGAATTTAAAATTCGAAGTAAAAATTGAACATTAAAAAAAATGATAAGTGTATTACACTGTGTATCATTTGTGTAACACACTTGTATCATATTTGTATCAATTGTGTATCATATGTATATTTATGTATACCTGTGTGTGAGATACATGCGTGATACATGTTTTATACATGTGTCGCAGAAGATTTTTTTGAACTCGATTTAATTACTAATTTTGATACAAAATCAGTCCAAATCACCTCCAATCTTCCTCAAATTTTGTATATTGACTTATCTATATTTTTTCAATGGATTTCAACTATACTCATGAAAAAATTTCCTTTTTGCTTATATTTTTAAAATATTGTGTGTGGGTGTGTGTGTGTGTGTGTGTGTGTGTGTGTGTGTGTGTGTATATATATATATAATCACCTTATTTGCTACCTCATACATGAAATTTCCTTTCGGTCTTGCATCTAATATTGCTAATCACGCTTAAAAATATGGAAGGTGATTTTTGCATTTGATTCTTTGAGAGAAAGAACCTTATTTATTTGGTTTTTCAATTTTTATATGTACTTGGCTAGTTTTGGTAAGTCTATGACTAATGGCTAGAGGTTGGTAAGTCGAGACTTATTTGGGACATTTGTATAAGTTTCCCATACATAATTGACAGAAAAAAGCTTTAGTTATAAATATTGACACCGGATAGCCAATATTGTATATCACAACGAAAGTGTAAAAAATAATTATATTGCTTGTCTATTGTAGTATATAACACATTGAATATATGTATACCAAAATGGATATCACAAATTTATGTTTTTTTTCGTTGTGTATATCAAAAATTTATTTTTCTTTTTTTATATATTAAAATGTATACCAAAATTTATTTATTCCCACGATTATATTTATTATTTTATATTTTAGAACTTGCTCTAAACCTGTTACATTAAAATTTATTTTCCTTTCTTTGACAAGAACACAATTGAAATAAGTTTATCCAAAATGAATTTCTGTAACGAACCGGCCGGTCGTTTTTGGAATTTACGCCCCGATCCCCTATTAACTGCTTTCTCCAAGATTATTTGTGCTCTTTTGATTTGCCGGGATGTTTGATTTTGAGTTTCGGAGAGTTTTGGGACACTTAGTCCCTAAATGAGAGTTTAAGTGTTGGAAAGTTGACCGTAGTCGGAACAGCGTGAAGACGGACTCGGAATGGAAATCCGATGGTTCCGTTAGCTCCGTTAGGTGATTTCGGGTTTAGGGGCGTGGTCGGATTGTGTTTTAGAGGTCCGTAGCTAATTTAGGCTTGAAATGCCGAAAGGTCGAATTTTGAAGTTTCCAGTTCGATAGTGAGATTTTGATCCGAGGGTCGGAATGGAATTCCGAGAGTTGCAGTAGCTCCGTTATGCCATTTGGGACGTGTGTGTAGAATTTCAGGTCATTCGGACGAGGTTTGATAGACTTTTTGATCGAAAGCGTATTTTGAGAAATTTGGAGTTCTTAGGCTTGAATCCGATATGTTTCGGGGAAATTGATGTTGTTTGAAGTGTTTTGAAGATTGGTACAAGTTTGAATAAGGTTTTAGGATGTGTTGATGCCTTTGGTTGAGGTCCCGGGGGCCTCGGGTATGTTTCGGATGCTCAACAGAATATTTCAAGTTGTTAAAAAGTTGTAGGTTTTTGTTCAGCTGTTGCAGAGGGATTTTACCCTTCGCGTTCGTGATGAAGGCTCCGCGTTCGCGGAGGATGATGATGTTTGAGCATCGCTTTCGCGGGAAGGGTATCGCGTTCGCGTAGAAGAAGTGGTCGGCTGGGTTCGAGGTGGAATTGTTCTCCGCGTTGGCGAGATGTGTAACGCGTTCGCAAAGGGTTCGTCAGTGGAAGCATCGCGTTCGCGAGGGCAGTGTCGCATTCGCGTAAGAGGACTTTTGGTCAACGACATTTTTGTGCTTCGCGAACGCGAGGCCTTGACCGCATTCGCGAAGAAGGAATTAAAATACCTAGGCATAATGTTTTAAAAGGGTTATTTCGCGAGTTTCAGCCTAGTTTCCTCCATTGTTAGGCGATTTTGAAGCTTTTTGAAGTGGGTTGAAGAGGGATTCAAGGGGAATCACTTGGA